TTTGGTTCTTATTCATGGTTTTAATAAACCAATATGTTTCTACTCCATAGTTTAGGTGTTTGTTCATTTGATTTCAGTTTTAATTGATAGTAATATCATGATTGTTTTGATTAATTATGTTTAGAGTATAGGATTTGATGTTTACTTTAGATTTTAGGTCTTACAGTTTGATGCTTAGTTTAGGTCTATCTCCTGATTGTTAATATGTCCCTTTAGACTTAGGTTTTGCTTCTGTTTTGTAATTTTGTTTTAAAGATATTTTCCCTATTTTGATTAATTCATTTAGCACTTGAGTTCTGTTTAGATTTTATCATGTATGTTTCCATCTCAGTTTTAGGTAGTTATAGTAATTAGGTTTTATTTCTGTTTTGATTAGTTTAGACTGTTATTATCTTTTCTTTTATTGCATTTCAATTTCTTTATTCTTTTAAACAAATTTTAGTTTATACTAGTTTTAATTCTTTTATTTTAGTTTCATTCATTTTAAATGTCCTCACCTATTGAGTAGTTAGTAAGTAAATAATTAGTAAATAACTACAAGACCTTAACCATACACTTTAATCTTAATTAGCTGAGTCCTATGATTGATATTCTGGTTGCCCTATGTTACATTAGTGGGGACCAGACTTTGTTCTGCCTTAGGCGAATAAAGGTAGTTTAACACATCTTCACCAGCTTCTAATATAGAACCACCCAGAGAATACCACAAATCCATAACATTTCTATATCCCATCTCCTTCAGTATGACCAATATTTCAAAATAACTCCATATGTCTAGGTCAATGATCAAGGTATTGGTATCACCTCCATGGTATCGAAATGACCCATCATTAAGAAAATTACCCCATGGAACACCACCTCAATATCAGAGTTTGACATTTTCTTTAATTGTCAACTATTATATGCCTATATAAAAGTAAGTGTCAAACTACATGCAGTTGGTGAATGACCTTCACATGCATCTACTATCATTATTTAGTGACCTTCACATGCATCTACATTGTAAACATGCCACATTACCAACAACTATTACACGTGTAGTTATAACAACTTAATCACACACAATCAGTGTTTCACCTACAATTATTACACGTGTAGTCATGCTTAAATCAATATGCATGAACCACATAATAAACAACAACCACAAAATAAACAATTTTATCTTCAAATGGGGGATCAAAAACATACAAACAATACGCACAACAAAACGAAAGACAATAAAGAAGGGGACCACAACATATCCAACACAACACATTAGGGGGACCACAACAGAACACACTAAGGGGACAAGAAGACAACATACTTCCATGGGGGACCCCAACTACATAAAATAACTCATAAAAAGCGCATCTTCCACCTTTTCGCTTTAAAGAAATACCACGCTCACGAACTGTATTCGCTCCCCCACCTCAGTCGTTGACAAACCCTACTCCTTCACCAAGCCTTTTCGGTCAAGAATCTTCTTCGAAGAAACCAAGCAATTCACCTCTGCTCACAAAATGAAGAAACCAAGCAATTCAACCCTTGATAAAAAAATCCCCAATTTAAAAATAACCTAATTTTCCTAATGATTTTATTTCACCATTTAAAAACCCTAATGATTTTATTTCCCCAATTTACATACACATAACCCAAACTTTGGCTGCCACGTTAACTAATTTTAGGCTAACTAAATGCCACATCAACATTTCTTGCACAACTCACATCCACAGTAACTTTAACGTTATCAATTTTAACACCGTTAAACGGATAGTACTGAAGTCAAACAATTTTGATAACATAAACCCAATATCTACACTTTTAAAACCGAGTACTAAACTGAAAAAATTACCACTGAACATAGGGACCAAGTAAGCATTTAAACCAACTTTTTATATATTAATATCAATACACCTAAAACTATATAATATTGTTTATCAATTAAAAATGAATTGTAAGAGAATAAATATGTTTATTAAAATAATCTTTTGTTTTCTGAATTTAAAAATACATGCGTATTGATTAGCATTAATAATACACTAATAATTAGTAGACGTATAATTAATATATATATTAATATATTTATTTATTTGAAGACAGAGAATATGAGCTTGCGGTTTATTAAAGGAATGTAGATGCATGAAATTTTGTGGCAAACAAAAAATATTAATAAAACTAGTACAGTTAAAATCTGGCTCGCTCTATTAGAAGTTAGTTATTTAATGAATCAATTCAACCCAACTCATTTATTAACAAGTCAAAAAAAGTTTGACCTTCCACATTGTTAAATGGTCTGACTTATTAACTCACTTTTTTTTTCAATTAAAAGAAATAGCAAAATTTTTCTTATTCAAATCTAAATAAAGTGGAAGGGTCTTAAATTAGATTTATAATCAATCAAACATAAGATTTCGTTCATACAAAGATATGATAAAATCTCCTCAACAAAATTTTTAATGGCTTTATAGCGATTTAAATTTGTTTTTGTATAAAAATTGAGTTACTAAATATAGATTTATAGATTTTTCATGTTGTCTAATTATTCCATACAAAAATAATTTCATGGAAGACTTTGTTTCAATATTTTGTAAAATGACTAATCCAATAAAAAAATACTTATTAGAAAAATTAGGTGGATTAGTGAGGTAACCTAACTCACCATCAGTTTAATCCAGGTGAAATTGATCCATATCAAAATTTTAAATTTTTTTCAACTCAATTGGCTCGTGAATTACAACTTGTTTTGACAACACTAAATAAAACCAAACATTGTTTTACGTGAAGTGTGCACAAAAGAAAAAGGAAAATATTTTTTTAACAACTTTTTTTGACAACCTTTTTACAATAGCCTATGTGGTAGCTTGTGATTGATCCGTTACAAATATATGGACTAATAAAATAGTGACACAATCTATTGTCAAAAAGTTATTAAAAAAAAATTGTTAACATATCATAGTCCAAAGAAAAATTATGTAGTTTGGTTTTGTGGTTCTCTCTCTTCACTCACACATAAATGTTTATGTGAGTTGTCCTTTTCCGACTACATTACAACATCAATAATGTTATATATAAATAGATATATAAATAAAGTAATGATATTTTGACAACATTTTGATATAACATTTGTATTAATTTTTCATTAAATATAGGATACGGTAACACAATAATATATTAATACTGAGACCGTGAGAAAATGACATGTGTATTGTGTTAAAATGTTATAGAAAAATATGTGATAAAATATTTTTTTCATATAAATATATGCATCCACTCACAACACACATTTGTATTTCTCAGCTTTGTGTTTTTGAGACACTCTCAAATCTCAATTTCATTCCTTTCTCCACTCATGAGATCGCTCTACACAAGGTAAACTTTTCATTCTACTTTTTCTTTTTCTTCCTTTTTCTGAAAACCGCCACACGCTTCAATATCTTTTCTCTTCTCATGTTAAAAATGGAGCTTGATCTCCTTTTGCCACTGAATTAATTGCATGTAAACCATTCTTTTTTGTGTTTTCATTTTTATTTTTTTGAACCCTTTTGCTCGTTTGTTTGTTTTTTTTTTCTTTTCAATTTTTCATTGTCTATCTGTTCTTATTTGTTTTCCATTTTTTACTTTAAAAGAAAATTGAGTGTATACTCTTAACTAAAGGGTTTTGGAGTGGAATTTCAAATAGGATCTTTTATCGTTTTAATTGTGGGGTTTAGTGTTTGAATGTGTATTTATTTGAGGTATATGTATTTGAGCATGGAGGCAAGTTATCAATGTTCTTAATGCACCCTTTGATGCTTATAAAGGGAGAAGCAATTTTTTTTTTTCATGTGAGAATTTTGATCAAATTTCTAAGTGCTTATGCTTGTGTGATACGAAGGGAATAAGGTTTGGAAATGCATAATTTGTACTATATTAGAAAATGATGTCCTAGTCCAAATTTTATCACACTCTTTGATAACAGTTGTCATTTTGATATCATATCAATATGTTTTCATTTTTTTTAAGTAAAATGAAAATATTGTTAATTATGGGTTTTGTTCTTCTTGGATTGGTCTGAATGCTTCAAATTTCAAAATCATTAGGATGAAAGAACGTTAGTGCTCAACATTTTCATGCTTATGGATTCCTTTCTTTTTGGCCTCATTTTAACAATTAAGAGCTACAACAATGACTATAAAAGTCTTTTACCATTAGATGTATGATCTCATTGTTTTCCAATGTTTATTCCTAATAGAAATTAGTATTTTTCTTAATGCTTTTTACATACATCCATAAGAAATCATCACCCTTTATGTAAACTTTGTAAAATTTCACAAAAAAAGTCTCATAAAATATACAAAAAAAATCTACAACTATTCCATGAAAATTACATATTAATGTTTGAATGGATTGAGTTTCAACACAACACTTTGTTTGAAATATTATTTATTGAATAATATGTTAACACAAATTTCTTTTACAACATTGTGACACATCACACATGTTATTTTTTTCATTGAATTTAAAGTAAGTGAGTACAATAACAAAGAAATAATGAATCAATGAAAAAAATAACATATGTGTTTTATCAAAATGTTGTTGTCAAAATATTTTATTTTATTTTTATTTAAATATATGTTTGAAAAAGAGTTTAAAGAAGCTTCTTTCTTTCCAATGGACAAAAAACCCAAGTGACAATGTTACGTTTTTTTATCTCATGCTTATGAAGATGAAAAGTTTGTTGTTGGTCAATCGAGACATGTATGCTAAATTTTTAAAGGAATTGAAGAGCATTTATATCAAGGTTTTTATTCATAAGGGCATTTTTGATTGTATGATATGATGTGAAATGTGGAGCTGATCGATGTTGAATTCATATTTTGTGTTTTCTCAGGTTGAGTTTATATATAAGGTGGTTATGATTGAAGATATGTATTTGTTACTCTTACGTAAGAGTACAGTATTTTTGTCTTAGAAAAGTCGATTTTAGCTATCATAAAAAGTTCATATTGTAAGTTTGATGATTGGCTTTTGTGATCGAAATTATGGAATGCCAAGATGGTGGTGATAAGAATGAAAAACATTTACTGCAACAACCTTTGGTGCGACAAAATTCCTTGTACGGTCTGACACTGAATGAAGTTGAGAACGAATTAGGTGAGAGAGGAAAACCAGTGAGTAGCATGAACCTTGATGAGCTTCTAAAAACTGTGTACACTGTTGAAGAAAACCATTCAACCAAAGCTGGTTTATCCTTAACCAGTTCTCTATGTATGAAAACTGTTGATGAGATTTGGAGAGACATACAAGAAAGCAAAGAGAACAAGTTTGAAGAGAGACAGCTTAGACTGGGAGACATAAAATTAGCGGATTTTTTGGTGAAAGCAGGAGTTGTTGTTGAAGCATCTTCTACCGTTGTTAATCCTCAACAACCACAATACCAAATTCCACAACAAGGTTTAATGGGGATTTACATGACTGGCCAGAACATAGCACAATCGTTACACACACGAGCTACTGCTACATCACAAGATAAGACCTTTGAGAGAAGACAAAAGAGGATGATTAAGAATAGAGAATCTGCTGCACGTTCTAGAGCAAGAAAACAAGTCAGAATTCTCTTTCTTTTAAATGCTATCATATAGTATTTTGGTTAAATTCCTTATCATAAGTGAGATAATAATGAACAGGCTTACACAATTGAATTGGAGCACAAAATCTCCCGTCTGGAAGAAGAAAATCAAAAGCTCAGGAGACAAAAGGTTTGGTTCAGGTTCTAGTTTTTTGTTTTTTTTTTTTCACTTCTATTGATTCAAAATGATGAATATAGAAAGTCTTTCAGTATTTACAATTATTCTACCACCACTTTCTATATTGTATAACTTTCAATTGATATAAAAAATTATTAAAAAAAGTGATTTTTGCTTTGAAACATTGATTTTCAGGAGATAGAGGACATATTATTGAGTGTGCCACCTCAAAAACCAAGATACCAGATTCGTCGAACTACATCAGCTTCATTTTGACATTTTTGTACCTGTAAGGACAAATTTGTAGATATATGAGCATGAATGGGTGCTTCTTTTGGTTGTTGTGTGTTAGTAATATTAGCTATTTGATGCATTTGGATACAAGGAACCGTTGTTTTGTTATTAGGCTTCTCTAATTATAATAGCTCAGTGAAATATCTGTTGTAAACGTCTTGTGGAACATTAGTTTTATGTTGTTTGATGTACTTGCATACAAGGAACAGATTTTCTTGTTATTATGCTTCTCTAATTATAATAACTCACTGAAATCTCTATAGTAAAAACCTATTGAGCAACATTATAGTTTTCTGGCATTCATTATATATAACTTTTTCAATCAGTTGAGTTTATTATGAAAGCTTTATAGAGTGGCTTGAATCTGGGATGACATGCTTGCTGAGCATTTCAACTATTTCATGTTATGAAAAAGGAAATGTTGCTATAAAGAAATAGCACCAAACAAATTTTAAGAAAATATATTGTAGAGATTATAAGAAAGAAATCATAAGAAGTTACAATGGAGTAGTTCAAAATTTAATGTATATTCAGATATTACGAAGGGTGTATTGGTTGAATTCCTCTATTATTACTTTTTCCATTGCATTAGTTATAATATTTTATGAATCTGGAACGAAATAAGTTATAATTAACAGTTTCTCTATAGAAGTATTAAAAAAACATGATTGCATAAAATAAATGTGTTATGTGCAAACAAGCAGAAGAAAGTACTGAATATTTATTGTCTGAGTGAAAAATTTTATGTTATAAAATTTCATCACAAGTTGAGTAAGACTCCCATTTTGATTCATCATATATTGAAATTGTTTTCCTAATTAAACTTTTTAGTATTGGATGTGATACTCATCTTGAAAAAAAAAATTCATCACAATTGTATCGAGATTGAAAAGGACTCTAATACTATTTATGTGTTCATCTCTATTATTGTCGAAATGAATCCAAAAACAATTTAATAATTGTCATAATAATCAATTTTACCATATAATAAATTCAAAAATACTTTTCAATAAAAATCATAAACTCAAACAACATATCTACAAACACATGTGTTACCAAAATAAAAAATTCTTCCATCTGCTTAAGGCTTGCTATGCCCAGATCTTTGTTGTTGGTGTCCACTAACTGTATCCATTTTGTTATTAGAGCCATTTGAAGAAAATTGTTCTATCTCCTCACAGGTACAACATTTCTTTTCTTTTGTCTCATTACCTCCTTATTGCAGCTTATCGTAAGTTTTTTTTTTGCTACTCACCATCAAAATTCCTACCAGAAGATCCTCCCTTCTAGGTTTTGATCACCCAACTTGTTTCACCTCTCGATTATTCTACCATTTTAGCCTTCTTGATCAACATAAAAAAACTCCCAAATTCCCATAAGTATAATGACCTTCCTTAACTCATGCCTTAGTCTTCTCTCAAACTTTTGGCATTTGCATAGTTCAGTCATGTTTTGAGTATAAAATCTTGTTGGATACTCGAACCTGGCAACATAGTCGTGCACGAACATCTCTCCTTGGTGCATGGTCATGAAATCTATCTCCCTTTTGAATTTAGCATTATCAGGAAAATACTTCTCTAAAAACCTCTCTTTGAAGTTTTCCCATTCAAATTCTCTCATCGAACTTCCATCATCTATTGCATGTCAACCCATCAATACTTAGCCTCTCAATTCAAAAGGTAGGATACGAACCCCAACTTCTTTTCTTTAAAACAAGGTCCTAAAGATATTATCCATCTCTCGGATCCAAGAATCAGCCTTATCTGGAATAGTCTTTCCAATAAATTTAGTGTGATTATGTCTCATAAATTTGCCTAATTTGGGCTGATCTCGAGCTCCACTAACTACGTGTTGTTGTTGGTAACATTAGCCATCATTTTAATGGCCTTAGAGACTCCCTTCGTCTTTTTAGCGGGTTGCCTATGAGAGTGGTTTAGGTTCCTAACTCTATGCGATATTCTAGACACACAAAAATGAAGTTACATGAAAAACACAAATAGTTACTCAACGACACATTGGACTCTATAAAATATGCATATAAGAATCACGAGCTCACTTCCCAGCATACCCCTAAAAATCATAACCTGTCTTTGATACTACTTTCACCCGCAAAAGACAAAATGAAGAACACACACGAAGTGAGATAAAAATGAATAATTGTCTCTTGTATTTTTAATAAATGCTATTGCTTGCAAAGTTTTCAACATTCATGCAACAAGCAAAATATACCTTTATATAACCCTACAAAGTGGTTAAATGATTTTTAAAAGTACGCAACAATAACAGAGGAAAACCAGTGAGTAGCATGAACCTTGATGAGCTTCTAAAAACTGTGTACACTGTTGAAGAAAACCATTCAACCAAAGCTGGTTTATCCTTAACCAGTTCTCTATGTATGAAAACTGTTGATGAGATTTGGAGAGACATACAAGAAAGCAAAGAGAACAAGTTTGAAGAGAGACAGCTTAGACTGGGAGACATAAATTAGCGGATTTTGTGTAAAGCAGGAGTTGTTGTTGAAGCATTTTCTACCGTTGTTAATCCTCAACAACCACAATACCAAATTCCACAACAAGGTTTAATGGGGATTTACATGACTGGCCAGAACATAGCACAATCGTTACACACACGAGCTACTGCTACATCACAAGATAAGACCTTTGAGAGAAGACAAAAGAGGATGATTAAGAATAGAGAATCTGCTGCACGTTCTAGAGCAAGAAAACAAGTCAGAATTCTCTTTCTTTTAAATGCTATCATATAGTATTTTGGTTAAATTCCTTATCATAGTGAGATAATAATGAAACGGCTTGACACAATTGAATTGGAGCACAAATCTCCCGTCTGGAAGAAGAAGAAAATCAAAAGCAGGAGACAAAGGTTTGTTCAGGTTCAGTTTTTTTTTTTTTTTTTTTCACAATTCTATTGATTCAAAATGATGATATAGAAATGTGAGTTGTCCTTTTCCGACTACATTACAACATCAATAATGTTATATATAAATAGATATATAAATAAAGTAATGATATTTTGACAACATTTTGATATAACATTTGTATTAATTTTTCATTAAATATAGGATACGGTAACACAATAATATATTAATACTGAGCCCGTGAGAAAATGACATGTGTATTGTGTTAAAATGTTATAGAAAAATATGTGATAAAATATTTTTTTCATATAAATATATGCATCCACTCACAACACACATTTGTATTTCTCAGCTTTGTGTTTTTGAGACACTCTCAAATCTCAATTTCATTCCTTTCTCCACTCATGAGATCGCTCTACACAAGGTAAACTTTTCATTCTACTTTTTCTTTTTCTTCCTTTTTCTGAAAACCGCCACACGCTTCAATATCTTTTCTCTTCTCATGTTAAAAATGGAGCTTGATCTCCTTTTGCCACTGAATTAATTGCATGTAAACCATTCTTTTTTGTGTTTTCATTTTTATTTTTTTGAACCCTTTTGCTCGTTTGTTTGTTTTTTTTTTTCTTTTCAATTTTTCATTGTCTATCTGTTCTTATTTGTTTTCCATTTTTTACTTTAAAAGAAAATTGAGTGTATACTCTTAACTAAAGGGTTTTGGAGTGGAATTTCAAATAGGATCTTTTATCGTTTTAATTGTGGGGTTTAGTGTTTGAATGTGTATTTATTTGAGGTATATGTATTTGAGCATGGAGGCAAGTTATCAATGTTCTTAATGCACCCTTTGATGCTTATAAAGGGAGAAGCAATTTTTTTTTTTCATGTGAGAATTTTGATCAAATTTCTAAGTGCTTATGCTTGTGTGATACGAAGGGAATAAGGTTTGGAAATGCATAATTTGTACTATATTAGAAAATGATGTCCTAGTCCAAATTTTATCACACTCTTTGATAACAGTTGTCATTTTGATATCATATCAATATGTTTTCATTTTTTTTAAGTAAAATGAAAATATTGTTAATTATGGGTTTTGTTCTTCTTGGATTGGTCTGAATGCTTCAAATTTCAAAATCATTAGGATGAAAGAACGTTAGTGCTCAACATTTTCATGCTTATGGATTCCTTTCTTTTTGGCCTCATTTTAACAATTAAGAGCTACAACAATGACTATAAAAGTCTTTTACCATTAGATGTATGATCTCATTGTTTTCCAATGTTTATTCCTAATAGAAATTAGTATTTTTCTTAATGCTTTTTACATACATCCATAAGAAATCATCACCCTTTATGTAAACTTTGTAAAATTTCACAAAAAAAGTCTCATAAAATATACAAAAAAAATCTACAACTATTCCATGAAAATTACATATTAATGTTTGAATGGATTGAGTTTCAACACAACACTTTGTTTGAAATATTATTTATTGAATAATATGTAAACACAAATTTCTTTTACAACATTGTGACACATCACACATGTTATTTTTTTCATTGAATTTAAAGTAAGTGAGTACAATAACAAAGAAATAATGAATCAATGAAAAAAATAACATATGTGTTTTATCAAAATGTTGTTGTCAAAATATTTTATTTTATTTTTATTTAAATATATGTTTGAAAAAGAGTTTAAAGAAGCTTCTTTCTTTCCAATGGACAAAAAACCCAAGTGACAATGTTACGTTTTTTTATCTCATGCTTATGAAGATGAAAAGTTTGTTGTTGGTCAATCGAGACATGTATGCTAAATTTTTAAAGGAATTGAAGAGCATTTATATCAAGGTTTTTATTCATAAGGGCATTTTTGATTGTATGATATGATGTGAAATGTGGAGCTGATCGATGTTGAATTCATATTTTGTGTTTTCTCAGGTTGAGTTTATATATAAGGTGGTTATGATTGAAGATATGTATTTGTTACTCTTACGTAAGAGTACAGTATTTTTGTCTTAGAAAAGTCGATTTTAGCTATCATAAAAAGTTCATATTGTAAGTTTGATGATTGGCTTTTGTGATCGAAATTATGGAATGCCAAGATGGTGGTGATAAGAATGAAAAACATTTACTGCAACAACCTTTGGTGCGACAAAATTCCTTGTACGGTCTGACACTGAATGAAGTTGAGAACGAATTAGGTGAGA